CATTTATTAAATCTTGTGTCCTGTGGGCACTGGTAGAATCAACTAGAACACAAAGAAACAGAGGACACCAAGGAAACTCTACCCAGAAACACCTCCCATCTCTTTCCTGAGGAATGAAATCCTGAATCTGTCATGTAAGGACAGTGGGTCAGAAGCTGAGGACACTGATGAAAATCCACTGTGGCTGGGAAGAGACACTCTGACACTGGGAAAGGGAAGGAACAGAAACACTTATAAGGCCATACCTCAGAGTCAGTCACACCACCCATAGCTAAGAAGGAGGCTTAGTCAGAAGGCTGGAGAATGTGCCCCTGTGTCCAAGCCCCTTCACCACACAAACAATCACCAAGTAAAAGTGTCAGCAGGATGCACCTGCCACAGCTGAAAGAGGCTCTCTGGGGGGAATGAAATGTGGAAATCCAGAGCCAAACAGAGACACAAAAGCAGGTATTGCTGGAGGAACCTGAAGCTTTTGTGAACAGGAGAAGCTGACTTCAACTGTGATAGCCGCTGTAACCATACACTTGAAATTCAACCCTGAGTAGACTCACAGAAACGTGGTTAATAAAGGCCCAACAGAATGTAATATGTGATCATCTCCTGGAAGAAAAAATTAAATGCAAGAAAATAAATTACAAGTGAAATGCAAACTGAAATTATACATGCATTTCATTTTTATATAAATGCGAAAGCAAATAAAACTATGTTATTTAAAAAAATCCTGAGACAATTTGTCAGCAGATTCGTGTTTCAGGGCACATGTTAGCAAAGTTTCTCTGCGAGTAGCCATGTGCTATGCACTGAAAACATAGATCTATACAAAGAAATTCAGATTGTAAAAAAAGGGAAAATCAAGAGGAAGTGCAGTTATTATCTTTGTAATTGCTATAGCATATAACTATATAAAGTGATAAAAATATATGTTATATTTTATATGTAAGTGCCAACTGAGGATAAACAAGAAAGTGTGGTGAGAAGGAGGAATTCAAAGCACACAGTTACACTGTCTCTGTACTTCACATCAAGGCCATCACAGTGTCTGCATTAGAATCTAATTATTTACAATTCTTACTGTAAACCTTATGGTAACCAATACCATATTTATAAAAAATGAATTAAATAATCTGTTAATAGAGAAATAAACATCATTATAAAATGCTAATTTAAACAAAAAATAACAGAAAAATTAATATTACCTTTAAAATAGAATTTATTATAGCTGATTTAAAAAAAACAAGACCTAACTGTTCTCTTTGTACAAGAAAGTTATCCTACATATTCACAAATAGAAAAGATAGAGACGGGAAAACATGGATTATGAAAATATGAACCAAAATAAAGCTATGGTAGCTGTGTAAATTTCAAACAAAACAGATATCAAAAAAGACTTTTAGGACTTAACAGGGATATTACATAGAACAAAGTGACCAGGTTTTTTTAAAGACACAAAAAAGACTTAACAAACGTATAATAGATGAAGAATGCACCATTTGTTATGATTTACAGAACAAACGTGATAAATGAAGTAAAGATGTCAGTGAAACCATGCACCTAAGGGTGTCCTGGGGACTATGAACCTTCTTTGTATTCATGGAGGGCACCACTGAGAACTTCCTCTTGAATTTCTCCCTGTTGCTGCCCACACCAGCCCCGGTCCTGGAGCCTGCTGGACCAAGCTGATGCTGCCGTCAGTGAAGGTGAATCCAGAGTCTGTGCAGGAGAGGCTCAGTGAACCGCTGGGCTGTACAATTTTTCCACCTCAGACTCCACCAGTGAGCTTCACACAGGTCTTCTGCAAACACAGAGAGAACAGACAGAACAGCCCCCTGTGGAGCAGCCACAGCTGGACCTGATTCATAAGGGACACTAAGATTGAGGGTGATTGGAGAGAAGCCCAGATCAGTGCAGACCCCACAGTGTGGACACTGAGGAAGGGCACAGACATGGGGTGGCTCCTCACCAGGGCCTGAAGGAACAGGGGATGAGCTGCCTTTCATGAGGAGGGGAAGGGACACATTTCCAAGTCTTTCTTTTTGTGGTCATGGGTGCACCGCTCAGCATTGCTCATCCATCCTCTGTGTCTGCATTTCAGGGAGGGAAGGGTCAAAGGATTCCTGGGTTTGGATGCACAGGGTTAATCTACCCCTTACTCTTTTTTATTCTATAAATTGGATACTGCTCAGGTATCTTCATAGCAGCAAACATTATCGACAAATAAGTCCAGTAAGAACACAAGAAAAACACTCCCAGAGGAAATGGACATCTGTCTGTAATCCGTGCATTTAGAGCTGCCAACCACTGTTTCTGACAATGAGGCAAAGTTTAGTTACAATGAAGAAAATGCAGGTCTATACTTTCTCCGGGCTGGGTTTAATAATTACCATTACCTTGAGACTGTTTTGTCGCAAAAGAGTCAATGTGGAAATTTATCTAAGTAAAGAGTTCACATGGAGACATGTTTGCTTGTCTGAGACAAGAGTCCACATGAGGAAATGTCTGTTTTCTGAGGAAAGAGTAAATGTAAGGACATACGTGGTGGTCTGAGGAAAGAGTCCATGTGGGGACGTGTGTGTTTGTCTGAGGGAAGAATCCACATGAGTAAAGGTGTGTTTGTCTGACAGTAGAGTCCACATGTTGACAGGTGTGTGTACCCATCTCCTTTCAGAGACAGTGTATGCCTGAACTGAGCTGAAGTTTGGGGAAATTCTTTCTCAAACAAGAAAAGAAAATAATGCTCTGGGTTGTTTGCTTGTCAGGAAGAAAAAACCTGGGTCACATAGAAAATTGATTTTTTTTTTTTATTAAAGGTCTTTAGTGAATGGAAGCATCATATATGCAAATGAGGAAAGTTACGTTATTCTTTGTTGCATCGCATATTATCCCCACACTCCCAAATACATTATTAGATAATTTTATACAGTGTGTATTTAATCCCAAAGTTAATGAACTGCTAAATGTATTTTAACTGTATATATTTAGATTTATATTTTCCATAACAAAAATATGAGCTTGGACAAATTATTTGTGTCATGTCTCAACCATTGCATATCACCAGAATAGTCTTAATTCTTCTTAAACAGTGTCTGTTTTACTTATTTTATGCCCACTCTCTAAATTCCTGGAATATCCTGTCTGTTTACTTGACTATAGTTTTGGCTTTTACATAATTTAAAGAAATGAAACTATACTGTATAATTGAAATGAATTCACCTAAGAAAGTGGAAAATGAAGTTGCTGATGTAAGTAACTTTGAAAAATGAGTAGGTTCTATAAGCTTAAATTGTAAAGAAATCACACATAAGTACTCTAGTAGATAAACCTGTTTCCTACAAGTGTACAGCTTTACATTTGTGATGCTGCTGTGCATGTGTCCTGAAATTGTGCAGCTAATTAATAAAAAGGCATATGGTGGGATGGGATTCCTCACTTTGCAGTGGGTGGTTACGGACAGTCAAAAAACAAAGGCTAGAAAGGTCTGTGTGGCAGCACAGTTAGGTGGAGAGACCATTGTGTTCTCATTTCTAATGTAATAAAGTTACAGAAGATTAGATACTAAATAATTTCGATGTGTCCATAAACACAGGTTCATATAAACATGCACATTTACTAGGCCAATTGGTTGAGAGGTCCTAGAAGTACTTATACCACACTAACATACCCGGTATCACAATATTTTATTTTAATACTATTCTTTAAAATTAGAAACAAGCAATCTTTGGAAAAATGGCTGATTCTATGTGCAAAAAAGGTAACATAGAAAACAAGCTTAGAATCTATTGTAACACCAGGAAACAGGGAAGTGTTCAAAAACAAAAGGATGACCTGTGCTGTAAGGATGCAGGATCCAAAATAATTCAGCTCCCAGCACCTAACAAAGCTGTGATGATTTGAACAATAAAATGAATAATGCAGCATGGATCTTCTTCAGATTATGAAATAGACATCCATAAACCAATAAGGATATTAATAGACGATTAAGTAAAGAAATAATGGGAAGAACACATCTCCTTACAGAAGTGTTCCAAATATCTGTGGTGGATAGTCCTCCAATCAAGTAGGTGAAGTTTAAACACTCATGATTGAGATAAGAGACATGGTAAAAAATAATCAGTATTAGTGTATTTTATAATGAGACTCCAGATATAATGCCACGTACACGATCTATGAATGAATAATTTTTTTGTTTTTTATCTAAATTTGTGCGCGCGCACACACACACACACACACACACACATTTTTCTGCAATACCCACTGATAAGGGAGTAAAAAGCAACCATAGACTTGGAGAAAATACTTCTAAGTCACATATTTGTTAAATGAATTATTTTAATTTGTTAAATGACTTTTATAATCAACATGCAAGTAAACTTACAACTAATCAAAAGAAAACAATGCAGTCAAAAATGAACCACCTATCAGGAGGGCCATCTCACCAAAAATTATATAAAAATTGTTAAATACAATTTTTTATTAGGGACATGTGCATTTAAATAAAAATTAGGTATCACTACTCACTTATTAACATGGTTAAAACTCACAATTCTCATGATGATAAATGGCAATATGAATGTGGAAAACCAAGAAATTTCATGCACTGTCGGTGGGAATTCAAAATGTTACATGAACAACATGAGATTTTTTGGCATTTCTTAACTAGAGATAAAAGAGTTAAAATGTGAACTTGCTTTTGTGTTTCAAAATATTTCCAACATTGATTCAGAAATTGATGTTTGCAAAGATTGATTCAGAGGAAGTTCTGTATCAGATTTGTTAATTTTATTCATTCTCCAATCCCTGAAATTTACTTACAGAATAAATTTTGTATGATAAGTATCTCAAATAACTGAAATTTCTCAAATACACATTGATATTGGTCATTTTCTTTAATGTCTTAATGTCATTTTCTAAGAAAGTCTTCAATCTAATAATCTTTGTCATCTCCTCCATACCAGCACAGCTGCCTCCTTCCTGGGGTTTCTGACACTCTCAGGATGTGGTTTTCACACTGTGTCTCTCGTACAGTAATACACGGCTGTGTCCTCAGATCTCAGGCTGCTCAGCTCCATGTAGCCTGTGCTCGTGGACGTGTCCGCAGTTATGGTGACTCTGCCCTGGAAGTTCTGTGCGTAGCCTTTGTTACCATTGTAAGGGGAGATCAGTCCTATCCACTCAAGGCCTTGTCCAGGGGCCTGTCTCACCCAGTGCATGTAGTAGCTAGTGAAGGTATATCCAGAAGCCTTACAGGAGAGCTTCACTGAGGCCCCAGGCTGCTTAATCTCAGCCCCAGACTGCACCAGCTGCACCTGGGAGTGGGCACCTGTGGAGAGGAGACAGGAGTGGATGAACGTCCCCTTGACTGGACTCAATTCGCTTCTCAAGAATGAGACCTGGGAGCCCCTTACCTGTGGCTGCTGTCACCAAGAGGAGGATCTTCCAGGTCAAGTCCATGGTGAGAAGCTGTGCTCTCAGGGGCTTCTCTTGAGGTTGGATGCAGTTGTTGAGTGATGTTCTCAGAGCACAGAACATATTTACCGCAGTGGATATCAGCATATTTGCATATTCATAAGACAGAGCATTTCATAGCTCAAAGCCTGATCCATGATAAGAAAGGGAAGATAAGTGACACATCAGCTACACAAGAGTGAGATGCTGATGGTCCAAGCCCTAATCCTGCTGGAGGAAATGCACACCCTGCTCCATTTACAAACATTTGTGGGCAGAGGTCCTTTCACTAAAGAATAAGCCCAGATAGAACAGGCTCCTCACTGCAAACCTGCATTTGATTAGCATAGAGACCACCTGGATCATTTTTGGGACCATCATTCTCCATGACACTGAGAAGGTGCCTTGGTCTTTTCCTGGACCCATCAGGTACCAGCACAGCTCACTGGTGACTCTCAGAAAGTTACTGCTGATGTCCCTGAGATCTGCTGTGTGCTCTGGAAACAGTGTCTCCAGCACCTGCCTGGTGTCTGATCCCCTAGGCTCTTCAAGAGAAACACTCTTGGTTTACAGATTGGCCCTGTGGTGCATAATTAGAGCTGATTTTCTCATTTCATGGACCATGGGAATCAGAAGATGTAACAGGAGTTTGAAGTTCTTTATGAACTCTCTAATTTGTGTTCTCCATAATTTTGGCTTACGTTTTTTGAACTCCATTTATTAGATTTTCATGAAGTATTTAAATATTTCTAGTCCATATCCATAGATCCTCATCTTTATATATTGATTTCTGACTCACTAGGTCTGTGCACCTGCCACACTCTCAGATCCCCCACTGCCCTGTCACTCACACAACACAGGCAACATTACTTAAAACTGAAGTCTGAAATTCCTATGAATTTCTTATTTATTGGAATATAGTTTCTTCAACTAGTCTGTACCCTTTGAATTAGTAAACATGCCCTTCCTTTATAGTCTCACTATTATATTATAGTCCTAGAAACCCACTTTAAAAATAGTTTTCATTTCCTTAAGTTATATGAATGTTTTGGATGTAGCAGGACATTTAAAGGCACATCAGTGACCTATTGAAGAGTTATTTTAGATTGTTTTTTTCTGACAAAGGAAGACCCAGGCCCTGAGCCTTCTCTCCAACCTCCTGTGCACCTGCTCTGGGGCTGGAACCTGTGCTTGGTGGCTCCCGAGTGCCCCCTCCAGCCAAGCCCTTGCCTTGCAGTGAGGTTGCCGTGGTGGCTCACAGGCATTTTCCCCCACAGTCTCCAGCCCACCATGGAGTGTCTGTGTCGTGTTGTGTCACTCCTTCAGTGACACAATATACTGTTGTCACCACGTCTTTTAAGAATTGGTTAGCCTTAATAAACCTATTGAACTCTACAGGGAGACCCGAAGCAAAGATTCTATGACACAGAAGGGAGTCCCTTCTATGAAGTTTCACATTTCCTGAGTCAGTGAACACACAGTGAATACAAAAACTTGTAGGATTTGGGGAGTGCCTTGTTTCTTCGTTGGGCTCTTGCAGTTGAATGTTGCATCTGAGAACATCCGCAGGTGCAGATACATTCAGAATAAAGCCAACTTTGTATCTACTGTACCAATAACACATATTTTCCTTTCCTCCTAATTTCTAGCCTATAAAATGAGCCTCCTACACAGACACAAGGCCTAGGTTTATGGCTTTTTTCTCTTAGAGATCTGAGGCAAACAGAACACAGGTGGAGATTTGGGAAGTGCATGCAATCATATTTACAATGTTAATAGTTCTTTTTAGAAGATACTTATTCAACTTCAGTCTCTCTCCCTTCCTCACTGTTTTCTAGGGTCCTGCAGACATCACCCCATCCCACTTTGTTTTATGCATTTTTTTTCTCAGCTAGGAACCCTGAAAATGCCCCATGATAAAAGAATCTGAGGTCAACAGATTTGCCAAGACCTTTTGTTCCAAAAATGTACGTCAGAGGCTTCAAATTTCCCCACTGTCCTTGTCTTATTCTCTGCCACTGACTTTCAGTTTCCCTGTGTTCTCCTCCTCAGACAGAGTCTGCGCATTGTCACACTTTCATCTTTAACCCAGACCCATATATTATGGGTTGTTGCCACTGGATGGCATTTCTGATAGAAAAAGACTAACCTGGAAATTTTAATATATTACTTGAGGATTTATGTGCTAATGGTGTTAGAGTGTGAAGTTCCTAGTGCTTGTTGGCTGTTTCCACAGGATTGGGGAAAATTCACAGTTTCCCCACTGCTGTCCTTTTGTGTTTACTTGAGGAGAAGAACAGGAGGCACTGCTGAATTATGGAATCCTCCTCCACTATTTCCAGGAGTCAAATCTACCTAAACGTGTGTTCTATGGGTACTGCTGGGGTCAACAGAAACAGATTAAAACAAAGTGGGATAGGGGTGATGTCTGCAGGACCCTAGAAAATAGTGAGAAAGGAAGAGAGACTGAAGTTGAATAAGTATCTTCTAAAAAGAACTATTAACACTGTAAACATGATTGGTTGCACTGACCATCAGAAGCAGAACTGATACCCCAGACATAGAAGAGATAAAGGAAAGGCCCTTGGTGCTTCCCTGCATATATACTGAGGAAAATAAAAGGCTTTGACAGAAGAAGAGAAGGAGGATGAATAGTCTGAGGAGCAGATCACCAGGAACAACCAAAAGAGATAAAACCGGTCTTAAAGTGGTGTTTCAGCTCCATAAGCAGCTGAGGAAAGTAAAAGAAAGTCAACACCATGCATATACTGAGTTATTGATAGAAAAGCATTTATAGTTGTGTGGCTGACACAACTAAGAAAACAAAAACCTTTGCATGAAAATACAGTTTGGATTGAGGATACACAATTCTTATTATTAAAATTATACTGATCAGTCATCACTAGTATTACTGTGATAATATGGAGGATTATAAATTGAGTTGAATCTCTGTTCTAAGGTTAAGTTTTTGTAGGTGACCAAAACCAAAAAATAAAACAAGACAAAATGTGAGTTACAAGGAAGAAGTGCTAAGAGATCCTGGGGTAGAACTTTTCTTTACAAGGTCAAAAAATAGCAAGTTCAAACAGGAAACCCCACCCTCCCCGGGGACCTAATGTGGAGCTGCCTCCTAAGGGAGCCCTTGTATCTGAGCGCCCCCTGCTGTACTGAGTGTTTCCTGGTGGTTCTGAGCACCCCCTATTGTCCTGAGCACCCCCTGGTGGTTCTGAACGCCCCCTGGTGTCCTGAGTTCCCCCTGCTGATCTGAGCAGGCCCCTTCTGTCCTGAGCTCCCTATACCAGCCCCTGGGTGTTTCTGAGCTCCCTGGTGAGTCTGAGCATCCCCTGATGTGCTGAGTGCCCTCAGGTGTCCTGAGTGCCCCAGCGTTTCCTCAGCGCCCCCTGGTGGTTCTGAGCACTCCCTATTGTCCTGAGCGCCCCCTGGTGGTTCTGAGCACTCCCTATTGTCCTGAGCGCCCCCTGGTGGTTCTGAGTGCCTCCTGGTGGTTCTGAGCACTCCCTATTGTCCTGAGCGCCCCCTGGTGGTTCTGAGCGCCCCCTGGTGGTTCTGATCATTCCCTATTGTCCTGAGCGCCCCCTGGTGGTTCTGAACGCCCCCTGGTGTCCTGAGCGCCCCCTGGTGGTTCTGAGCACCCCCTGGTGTGCTGAGTGCCCCAGGGTTTCCTCAGCGCCCCCTGGTGGTTCTGAGCGCCCCCTGGTGTGCTGAGTGCCCCCTGGTGTCCTGAGTGCCCCAGCGTTTCCTCAGCGCCCCCTGATGGTTCTGAGCATCCCTGTAGTCCTGGGTGCCCCCTGGTGGTTCTGAGCACTCCCTATTGTCCTGAGCGCCCCCTGCTAGTTCTGAGCGCCCCCTGGTGTGCTGAATGCACCCTGGTGTCCTGAGTGCCCCAGAGTTTCCTCAGCGCCCCCTGGTGGTTCTGATCATTCCCTATTGTCCTGAGCGCCCCCTGGTGGTTCTGAGCACTCCCTATTGTCCTGAGCGCCCCCTGGTGGTTCTGAGCGCCCCCTGGTG